GAAAGAGCTTGTCACTATGTATGTATTTCTGCAAAAAAAACAAAGCACAGGATGGTTCACAATCCTTGATCATAATGATTTTTTTACTGGTTGCAAATATTGCTTTCTGTTCTAAATGTTAGACTTGAACTCGGATATGAGTTCTTTCCTTACTGTGATGTCTGATTTTATGTGTTGTCTGTGCGTAGTGGTGGCATTGAATTTGTGATTTTGAATTGAAGCAAAAGAAATGTGTCAGATTGCACTTGGTCTTAATTGGGACAGCATTAATAATTTTCAGTGTGTGTTACACACCTGTGGTATACAGCATACATAACAGAGAGTTAATTGGTTATTTTTTAGTTGCATAAGAGTTTTCCCCTTAAGTAGTCTTAGATTTTGGTTTCATTTTCCTTTCTTAGTTTAGGCAGAGTGTGTGTATGTGTATACCAAAAGATATCTATGCACATATGCAGTCCTGTGACACATGGGGATGATCTTGGAATAGCATAAATTTAAATACTTGACTTTGAAATAATATTTCATTTTATTAAATAATTTTATATTAGCATGCCTTCTTCCCACTGCATTGCAAAAACACTAATTTTAGCTGTAATGGAAATTGTCAGAAATGTAAAGCACAAGCTCTTCTGCACTTTGTCCGCGCGTGGATAATGTCTAGAGTCATGGTTCCATCAGACGAATTTTTTCTGTGTCCGTGTTGTCTCATCCCTGGCATTGGATTATGTTTAAGAAGTTATTCCAAACCTCAATATTGCATTAATTTTCTCTTGTTCAGTTGTACAATCATTTTAAAAATTGATTCTCTATTTTAAAGTCTGTTAAAAGTGTATCTGTAACTTGAGAAGCATCAGCTGAACTCGTATCTCAACTAATGCTTTTGGTAAATGGATTTCATGGCATCAATTCTGCTGAAGCTATCTTATTTTGGCATGGCTTGAAATTCACTTGGGATATTTCAGACTTTCATTTTTCTGATTTTTTTTTTTTTTTTTCAGGAAACCATTAGTCCTAATGACTTGACTAGAACAAGAGAGAACGTTTTATGTGCTATTTTTCTAGGTTATATTTTGTAGCGCAGTTAAAGTCTGGTGACAAACTTTTCAGCTAACTAGCTGAAACTTATCTGTCAGCTAATTAGCTGAAAAGTTTATCACTAATTTGAGATTAAGAATTTTATTTCAAAGGTTATTTTTGGATCCTTAGCTTCAAAACTTCATGTGGTAGTAGCTCCTAAACAAACCACTCTGCTAAATGCTAGTGGCTTTATGGAGTGTTTTAGTATAACTGCATCTTATCAGATAACAAACCGCAGTACAACTTTTCTGTTTTGTGTTGTGAACACATGCATGCTTCAGAGTGGTATTACTCTTAGGCAGATCTATCTAGCCTCTGCACAGAACCATTTGGCAATGCTTTTTACAAATTAATTCAAATAATGCTTTGTTTCAATTGGAGATTCTCTGTGTTTTGTTTTGTGTTTGTGGTTTTTTTTTTTTCTTCTCCCATCTTGTCTTCTGCTACTTGAATCTTCGCCCTCGTATTTAATTATGGGGCATTTCATGTCACTTTCAAGAGACACTTACTCTGTCTATAACATTATATTGTCTCTGTTTATTCGGCCTTACTTACCCCGAGTTCGCAGGCACTACCTGCAAAGAGCAGCCTTAATGTTTTGTAACTTTTTCAAAGGAAGGAGGCCAACTAGCACTATGTTTGGGTGGAAGTAGATCTTTTTATCCCCAAAAGAAAATAAACAACTTTTTAAGCACAAGTGTGTTTTTACTTAAAATATTGTCACATTTCATATATTTATTCAGTTTTGCTCTAGTAATCAAGGGTATTTGTTTTAGTATGAACTAATGAAAACAACAAAAACATGTTTCATGGGCTTTCTGTAGATACAAATGTATTAGAAATGTTTTGTTTTTCTCAGTTTGAAAAAGCTGCATTAAAATCTGGTAGCAGCGTGAAATTATATTAGGACATATTTTGTGTATGTTAAGCCCCCCCACTGTGGCTTTTGTTTTTAGTTAGGTTATATGGATTGTCTGTATACTGGATTCTAGAAGCTTGAAAAGCTAGAAGCAAAAAAAACTACAGATGAACTATGTTCCTTAGGTTTTAGTGCAGTTAACGTAACGAGACTGGCTGATCCATTTGTACTAAAAATGGGACTTGTTATAATTGTTAATATATCAAGAAGTCTTCTTATCTTTTTCAAAACTTGCATTGATTTTTGCAAGGCTCTTTGAGGGCTATCAAAAACTCTTTTATAAAGGACATGGTAGGTGTACCAGGAAGTACAGAATAACAGCAAAAGAGAAATGAAACCTTGTTTGGACAAGTTGAAGTGTAGCATTCAGTCCATTAAATTGAGTGGAACAGAACACTTACAGGAACTGTTTTTGTTGATGTCAATGCTTGTTTGGAAGCAATTAGAGCTCTAATTTTGTAATCTACACCTATGTGGGACTGTGGAGATGGGTATTATCTGAAGGCTTGATGGTTGTGATGCATCATTCTTCCAAAGTTCTTTAGTAAATATTAATGACAATGTTCACATTTATCTTAGATGAATTTGAAGTCAGATTTTTGACAATATACAGTTTTTTGTAACAGTGTATGTAAGGTAGAGGAGGGAGATTAAAACACAGAAAGAAGTATGCTCTTTGGAGAGCCTTTCGCCTCCAAATCTATTGAGAATTTTCAACAGCAGAATGGGAAAAACAAATTCAAATGAGTCTTATCTGGTGAAGACCGAGTAAAAAACAGAAATACAGGCAGCCAAGTTTGTTCAACAGGGGATAGTCTCTATGAAGTGTAAATTGAGTAAAGTGTGTAACAAATGAACAGGTTTTTTTCCTCTGATGCTAGCCCTTAAAACCATGGTGGAGACCTCTTGATTCCTCTGTAGATTCACTATGAATCCTCTTCAAAGTCGTCCTTCCTGTATAAAAAGAAAAGAAAACAAATGTTGATTTAGCTCCTTATATTCTGCAAAATATGTAGCTCAAGTTATGCTTATGCATTCTGTCAGATGTGGAGAGAGAGTTTTAGTCTTTGAAAGAATAATCAGAGTTCTATTTTCTTAATTTCTGTCTATCTAAACAAAATTGTTTCATGTTTAGAAGCTTATTGTTTAATCTGGTGATAGAAAAACAAGGATTGATATATTCTTTTGGTAGATATTTTTTTTATTCTGGTGACCTGGTACCTGTTGGCTCACCCAGAAATTATTTTGCTGTTGCTTTACACATGTTTCAACTATGTGTGTACAATTAAAATAGAACTGGAGGTAGTAATTTAATACACTTTTATCTTGCCTCTTGCTTTTCTTAGGCATGTTTCATTTACTGATGTGAATTCAATAGCGCGTTATCTGGCTAGAGTTGCTGGTTCTGCTGGGTTGTATGGTTCGAATCTGTTGGAACACACTGAGGTGAGGAGGAGTCATGCCTCTCTTTTAATTCTTCTTTTTCTCCTCTCTTTCGGCCTGCAATCAAAGGGGGTTTTGTTGTTGTTTGTTGGTTGGTTGGTGGGTTTTTTATGTCTATCATTCTGAATTTTATTGTTAGATTGAGATTTCAACTGTGTGGGATGCTGAGGGTTTTGTTTTCTTAAGCTTGCTCTTTCTTATAAAGAAGAGTCATAAATCTGAGTTTGAAAGGGTTGCTGTTTCCCACCCCTGCAACAGCAACTAATAACCTGACAGTTCACTAATAGAAGATAATTCAGGTTGGAAGGTGATGTCTGTAGTTTTCCCTCTTCACTTTCCTCTGGTCTGTTGCCATCAGTTGCTAACTTGTAACACTTCAGTGGAACACAAAGGAACACCATATGACATTGAAATACTGAATTAGTTTTTGCTGTGTATAATGGAAAAAACCCTGACTTCATTCAGGTAAATGTGGCGAGACATGACCATATAGATGGACTATTCCCTCGTGCAAAGTCGTGTATTCTGTAATGCTTCCCTAGGGGTGCCATGAGGGCACCAGAATTATTGTGCCAAAGAGGGAACTTTTTTTGGTCTTCCTTACTTACACAGATTACAAAAAATTATTGGGAACTGTGGATATGATATGAAATGAGAAGGAATTCTTCCCAAGTCTAGCTCAGAATAATCATATGCTGAATTTTAAGTTGGTAGCTGAAACTAACAGATAAAGTGAAATTTATTTCCTCTCAACGTTGGGGAGGGACTGAAGAACTTGATTCAGTTCTTTTCTGCAACTACTTGAAGCTAGTAGTAATCACTCTTCAGCCCATATAGCTGGTTTTAGGGAAGTGTTATCTTAGTATATTGCTTGTAAGGCATTTAAAAAGTTTTAGGTTATCTTGTGGCTGTTTAAGCTTTCTGACCAAACCCCTTGTTTTTAAGTTAAGCTCCAAGATCTCTGCAAACACACTTTCAAGATTGCTATTTCTAATAAAATACTTCTTTTCACTTCTGCATCTTTTAAAAATAAATTTATACTTTGAGAAGTACAGTGGCAGCTGCATTTGTGGTGCAAATATTTTGGAGCATAACTGCAAATGACTGAACTGAATTCCGTGGTGGTGTAATTACATCTGTGCCTGCCACGTTGGCTCAAATATTGGAAGGATTCCTGATGCAGTTTACAGAACACTTGCACATGAAATAGGGACAGAGGACTAGAAGAGACAGGACTGAGGGATTCAATTTATAAACAAGGCATTATTCACCAAGGGCATGATTTTTATTGGGGTTTTTTTTTGTTTATGTACCCAAATAATATTTCCTTCTATGGGAGAATACTGTTTTTCAGGAGGGAAGAGAGGGAAATGAGGTCAGGGAGGGATTTGATTTCTTCAAATCTAAAAGGAGATGAGACAGAGAAGAATAGGGACTGAGAGGAAAATGATACACTTATCCAGCACCAGCACCAGGAAGATCAAATAGGTCACAAATGTGGTGTCTAAATAGTTGAAGGATAATGGCAATTATTATATACTGTAAGTGATAAATAAGTACCTAAGAAATGCTGATTATTTTTACTAGCGGGAATAGCTTCAGTAAAGTCGGTATTTTCAGCAGTTTAAATACATCCTAAATGAAGAAATTAAATTTAATCATTTAGTATGGTTCTGGGTAAATGTTTCAGTGTATTTTGTTTTCAACATTCTTTAAGCGCATATTATGATTTATTGTCCAATATATACAACGCTAATGCTTCAGTCAGTATTTTCTGTTCAACTATCAAATGGATTGTATATTGCTTCAGTTTTTTAACAAGCTTCTTTCTCATTCCTTTAGTAACTTTAACTATCTTTTTGTCCCTTAAAACTAGATTGACCATTGGCTGGAGTTCAGTGCTACAAAGTTATCTACAGACAGCCAGTTTCTTTCAGCAGTCCAAGAGCTCAACCACTGTCTGTCCCTAAGAACGTACTTGGTCGGAAACTCTCTGAGTCTTGCAGACTTGTGTGTCTGGGCTGTACTAAAAGGTACCAGTATACATGTTCTCACTTTCATTGGCTTGCAATCAGAGTGTACCAGGAGTCCTCAAATTTCCTTTTTTGTGGATGCTAGTAGCGACTCTTAGCTGTTTGCCAGGCTGTATACTGTTGTGCATACTGCTTTGGCCTGTGCATCGCTAGTGATGGGAATAGTATAGCTTGCGAAATCCTAGATTTTTTTTAAATTAATGTTTGAAATTTATAGGATGTAATCATAGATGGGGAATTTTTTTAACCTCTTGTGATAACTGTAAGAGTGTCTTTTTATTACCTGTTGCCTAAATATGAAAATTTGCTCTGGCCCAAAATTTTGGATTAAATCTTTAAATTATTTTGTAATACAGAGTAAAATTATATACACAGACCTTTCCATGACATTATCTTAGTAGAGGAAATTTCTTTGGTGTTTAGTTTGAATTATTAAGAGAGGTGTTTGTTACCCTGTGAAATACCCTTTGGTGGTTAAAAGAAGCTTTGATGATCTGTTTTTATGGGTTTGTTTTTTATGTTCTCTTAGATTTATGTCTAAAGCTGATAGGTGTCAGTCTACCATTCAGTATAACCAAATTCCTCTTGAAAGTAAAACGCATATTCAAGATTAAAAACTAACATCTTTCAGTATTTTTTCAAAGTTGCTGCTCTTTAGAGAAATCTGAAGGGAGTGTACTACTTCCATATTTTTTTTTCTCCTTTCCCTGTCAGAATCTTTCTAGCAAAGTTGTGTTCCTTGAAAACTAGATTGTGGGATTACAGCCTCTCAGAAATAAAGGATAGTATTGATACATGCTTCACATCTGATAAAGCTTAGAAAACATCAAATGCAGACACACTAGAGGGATATCATCTATTTCTGTCTTAAAAAAAGTTGTTATTAATTTTGAGGTGGGTGATACAAAGAACAATATATGTTCCCAAGTCACCTCCTGCTTTGTTGAATCCAAGAAAGAGTGCAGTATGTTCTGGGCTTGGGGGGAGTTTGTTTAATTTGCTTTGGAATGACTTGTGTCCCCATGATTAAATGTCTTTTCAGAAGAGAGTGCAAGTAGGTGTTTTAAAATTAAAATTTTTTTTAGTCTTAAAAATTGCTGTTGGTATTCATTCTATTTTTATAATTTAATAGCTTGAAAAATGATTTGTTTTCTAACAGATAATAACATATGGCAAGAGCAATTACAGCAAAACAAAGCTCCTGTCCATGCAAAGCGATGGTATGGCTTTCTTGAGATACAGCGTGCTTTTCAGTCAGTAGGAGCCAAGTGGGCTTCTGGTACACCAAAGGTTAAAATGGTAAGATTTACTCAGATCCTCTAGAGAGAGTAGCTTTATTTATGTGAATACGCTATAAGACTTTTTTTTTTCTTTTTATGTTAGAGAATTAAAAGTTAAAAGGAATCAGTTATACAGTAAGTTACATTTCTGTAAACTGTTTAAAGACAAGTACGTCACTTTCGTATTTAGAAAGGCATAAGTGGTATAGTCAAGTGCTTAAATGGAACCATATAAAAATGGCACTTCTTAATCACCACTGCTCTTTAGATATATTTTAGGTATATTGTTTGCTTCTTCTAAATAGGATTTTGAGATCCTGATAGACCTGCAAAGATAGCAGCCCTTGGTTGATTGAACTTAATGTTCACATTCAGGTTAAGAACACCAAGATATGAAAATATGGCTAGTCACTGTTTCCTTCTATGGAATAAATTAAACAACTTGGGATTTTTCAGTCCTGGATCAAATTTGAAGGCAGAATAACTGAGAAGTCCAGAATTATTCTTGTTTTGATGTACTGCAAGTAATGTGAAAGTTGTGAAGAGATGAATTTGGGGTCCAATATGGCAGCTTTTTGTCATCTGGTTTGAAAGGAGACATTTGTGCAGAAGCTATTATCCAGAGTTTTATATCTGATTATACAGGTAATGAGTTCTGTAATTATGTCTCTGTTAATTTTTAAGGCAACAGAAAAGAAAGCGGATGTTGGGAAGTTTGTTGAACTTCCTGGTGCAGAGATGGGAAAGGTCATTGTAAGGTTTCCTCCTGAAGCAAGTGGGTAAGAAACAAATACTTTGAGAAGGTTCTATTTGTTATTTCTTTCAAAAAAAGAAAGGTGTGCTTTGGTGAGGGTGTCAATCAGCTTATCAGACAAGACTTTTAAGCCAAAAGAGTATTTAAAGTTTTGTCCACACCTATGTTAGAGCTGTATGTTCACTTCTCTCTACCTCATGGCACTGTTGCCTGAACTTGGAATAGGGAGGTTACTTGCCAGCAGGTGACATGGTGCTGCTCAGCAGTGGGATGAGAAGCAGAAGGATGGCATTTGCATGGATCGTGGAGGCGTGTGCACTGATAGGAGCTATGATGTATAAATATGGTCTTTATTGGTTGGGTGAAAGGACTCGTAGTGCTTCTCAAAGAAGCTCAGATTTGAGAAAGGAAAGATGTATGGATAGCCTCCCTTGGGAAGCTTGACACTGGATGTGTATGGGATGCCTTTGGCCTGGGGGTCCAGGCTGTATGTAGTCCCAAAACACAAACTCCTTAAAGACCACACAATGGACATTTGATGAGCCAATTTAATAAATACAGTTTTCAGCCAACTTTTAATTTTCTGCTTCTTTTTAGAATTGTCTGATGAACTGTAAAATTTCCGTGATGGCATTTCTTCATTAAACTGCTTGTTCAGCATCATGTGGCTTCTGTAGTAGTTTCTTACTCTATTAGTCCAGTATAAACTGTTGATCGAATATCATAACTTACATATTATGTATGTGTATAACATATATTGTTCTCACATTACTTTAGTAGCTTTTAGTGTCTTAATTCTAGTGTTTTACTTAAAACGCTGTTCTTTAAGGACACATTTTTAATTTTTTTGGAAGTGATTTTCATTTGGTGGATTTGGGTTTTTTATATTTAGCTTAAATTGACAGTAACTTTTTAGCTTATGTTAAAAATAAACAGCAACCACCATTTCAGAAAATTCTACTCTTCTGAATGTGATAGTTTCAGATTATCTGGTAGCTACTACTGAGTATCATCAACAGTTGGTTAAAGTTAGGCTGTAAAACTGAAGATAATTGCAGTCCTATCTTTATATCCATAGTGACACTCTAATTTACAGATTTAGGTATTTTGAACAGTTAACTACTAAATTTATGGTAGAATAACCATAATCTATTTTCATAAGTACATAGTATTTCAACAAATACCCTGTTCTGTTCTTTTTTGTTAGACTTACGTATTTCTTTCCATTCTTTCTCCTTCCCTCACAAAATAAAAAGGGAAAGTCTAGCTGAAATAGTGCTGGTGTATGTATTTATTTTTTATTTCCTTTTTAGATATCTGCATATTGGTCATGCTAAAGCTGCCCTGCTAAATCAGCACTACCAAGTTAACTTTAAAGGAAAACTTATTATGAGATTTGATGACACTAATCCAGAAAAAGAGAAAGAAGACTTTGAAAAGGTATGATAAGAGAGCAGGGAAATTCTTACACTGCATAGTTAATTCAAAGTTAAATGACATGCAGATCTGCTCTCACACACTTTGTTGCACTAGATTTTGATGGTATCAGTATTACACTTAAGCCTTATGCTTGGAAGAAATTTCCATCATCTTTACCTTAAAAAACTTAAAGCCCTTTTACTGGTAGTTTATTTCTTCCCTTTCTCCAATTTTTTTTTTTTTTTGCAACTCTTGCAATACACTGTTGTTTTTATTGTATAAATACTGCTTAGTCTGTAATAAGTAATTTGTTTCAGCTTTCATCTCCTTTTCTTGTTCTACCTCTTTCTTGAAGTTGTTTAAGTGTTCTCATATAATTATAGGCTGTGAATGAATGATAAGTGCCTGCCTCTCTTTTCTTTCATGCATGTCGTATTATTCTTATGGCTTATCCTTCCTGGACAATGGAGCGTTAAAAAAAACCCACCACATCTGGCATGAAGAGGATGTAGGTTTAAGAAAACTAGCTTTCCTGAATATTACAGTGTACAATTTCACACTTTTCAGGTTATTCTTGAAGATGTTGCAATGCTGCACATCAAACCAGATCAATTTACATATACCTCAGATCACTTTGAAACAATAATGAAATATGCTGAGAAGCTAATTCAAGAAGGGAAGGCGTATGTGGATGATACTCCTGCAGAACAAATGAAAGCAGAGCGTGAGCAAAGAATGGAATCTAAACACAGAAATAACTGTAAGATATTTTATGCTTCCGTCTTGCTTTCTTATCCTTTTAATTTGGCATCAAAACTTCATTTTTATTAACAAAGATGGATGAGATGACTAATTGCATATCTCTAAGGTCCTTATAGGAAGTGTTTAGTGCTTTGTTCTGCAAGGCTGGAGTAAGTGTACATTTAGACAAGTGCAGTAAACTTGTGTATGTATGAACTCATTACCGCTTTTAAAAAATTCAAAATGTGAAATGTGTAAAAATGAATTCCAGTGTCTAAAGAGGGGGTAACATTGCTTTTTGTTATTGCAGTATTAAAATGTGGTTCTGTGTCAACTTCGTAATACCTTAGAAAATTGTGTATTTTATTGTTCTTAGGTGTTAATAAGAATCTACAAATGTGGGAAGAAATGAAAAAGGGAACAGAATATGGGCAAACTTGTTGTCTACGAGCAAAAATAGATATGAGCAGTAACAATGGATGTATGAGGGATCCAACTCTTTATCGTTGTAAAAACCAGCCTCACCCACGTACTGGAAGTACCTACAAGTATGTCCACTTCATCCTTGTGTGATTTTTGCTCTTTTCAGGGCATTTACTGTTCCTTAGTAAACTTCTTTTAATGCTTGGCACCTGCTAGTGGTTTTCAGTCAGAATATATAATGAGTCTCTTGACTTTCTGAAACTTCTGCAAATGATCTTTTTATCCTGTGAGTTGGCCATCATGGTCACCAGTAAATATTATTTCAGTTTTGGTCCATAAATACATTATATGTCAATGAAGAGCTTTGAGTCACAACATAAATTAAGACTTAATGGCTGTGTCTTGGACAACAGAGCTGTTTCCTTTAGCTCTGGGAGCTCAAACAGAACCACTGTAATTTTACACTTCTACAAAACATCCTTGATCTGCCTACCTGAGTGGCTGTTTCCGTTTTCACAGCAACTGCTGTCTTTGTGCAGAATGAAGAATTAGTACATCGTGCATTGAAGTAAGCCTACCCAATTGTTCAAGGCTATGGTTCAGTGCTTATTTGAAACCTCTGTTTCCAGCAATACAACTCCCTTTTTGGAAACATTGATTTAATGTGTATGTAATAGTAAAGCTATGTCTGTGGGTAGGGGTTTGTTTTTAAACATGAAAACTTTGCTCGTTATTTAATCAACTAATGATTCTTTCTGACATTTAAGGGAAAAAAAAATCCCTATAAGTCAGCATTTTGTGTGTTTGAAAAAAAGCAGTAGCAGTGTAGGATTATTTTTTTTTTTTAGTCTTTAATATTACAGCTATGATCTATTAATTTCTTGAAGACTTTTGTGTTTTTAAAAATGTATTGCCCTGTGGATATTTTTATGGACAATTTGTTGTGTATGTGCTATTTTAGTCTTGATCTGAAAGTTTTCAGGATCATAGATTATACTATATAAATATAAATTATGCTTAGTTTAAATGTTTATATGCGAGGAAAGTGTTTTGTTCTTCTGCCCTGCTAATTGAAGGTCTTTATTCTCAGGGTTTATCCCACATATGACTTTGCCTGCCCCATTGTTGACAGTATTGAAGGTGTCACACATGCATTGAGAACAACCGAATACCATGACAGAGATGAACAATTCTACTGGATCATTGAGGCACTGGGCATAAGGAAACCATATATTTGGGAGTATAGCCGACTGAACCTCAACAACACTGTGCTCTCTAAGAGAAAGCTTACGTGGTTTGTCAATGAAGGGCTTGTGGACGGATGGTATGTTACATGGTTGTAGTTCAGCATTGTTCCTTAGGATAATTGTGACTGATGCACTCATTCTCTGTTTTGGACAGTGCTTAGACATCAAAGCAGCATGAAAGAATATTTAAACAATATTTAAGAATATATATTAATTTTAGCGGCTTCTGCATGTACAGTGTATCTGTTTACTACTCTACAGTAATTGTGTACATACATATTCATATCCTGTAATAAACATGAGGTAGCTTATTTTTGGACTCTGGCTCTTGCTGCGGGTGCTACTTAACACATTTTCCACTCTGAGTCATCAGATACATTCCTGAGCAATGCCAGAAAGGAGCCTGAGTTGAAGAACTTCCGGTCCTAGCCATCTAGTCAAATCCATCTTACTTCCCTCCCACCTGCCCTCCTTCCCCTTCTTTTTGTTCTTTTGTTCATGTTAACTGGATTTCTGCAGGTAGTGCTCAGTGGTCTAGTCGCCTAAGTGTTTTCCTAGAAAGGGTGAACGATGGGTTTACACTTCTGCAAGTAGTTCGGAGACTAGAGAGGCTCCTTTTGTTTATTAGCACAATGGGCTAGCTGTGGGAGCACACCATCTGAAGTCCTCTCCTCATAGTACAGGAGTCTGAAGAAATTAATGCATAATGCTAAATCAGACAACTGTTTGTAGTGTTGTTCTTGGGCTGGTTTTAGATGATTCTGTGCTCAGCCTATAAGAGCATCATTGTACACAAGTTCCTAGGCTGCCTGGTTTTCTTGCTTAGGTGTGCCACGTGTGGGATTTTTTGGTTTTCATTTGTGGCATGAAGCTACTCGGCTAGAGCTAAAATTCTCTTTTTTTTATTCCCTAGAGGTATATATCACCTCTCCCTCCCTAAGCCTCGCTGTTCATTCCTCAGCAAGGTTTGATTCGTATTCCCACCAAAACATATTTTACATTTCAGATTAGGCCATTTTGTTTATTGCATAAGAGAATAAAATCATAGAATGTCATTGAGAGATAACATTGTCATTGTCACTCATCTCTTTCTGGTTTCTCTTGAACAAGAAAGAATCAAGCCCTGTTGTTTCAGGTTCCATTATTCAGGTGCCATTGAAAAGGAAGTAATGTGATAGAGACATAACTTTTGCCTTGCGAGTTTTTGAGGGACTAAAGATTGAATAGATATAGGATTAGAGCCTCTTCACCAAGAGATGTCTTCCTTCCCTGGGGTGAAGCAGAAATAAAAATGCACCACACGTTTTGTACAGATAAGAGCTCAGACTTTTCAGCTAGATCTTCTCATCTAGCTTTTAATTCACACCAGCAAAATACACTGAAGCTGCGTCTTTTGTGTGCAGCAGTATTAGTAAAGTTTTTGATCAGTCTGACTAATAGGTAGAACTTAGCATGTGACACTGATGAAATGTCTTTTTCTACTAGGGATGACCCAAGATTTCCCACTGTGCGTGGTGTCTTAAGAAGAGGCATGACAGTTGAAGGGCTAAAACAGTTTATTGCTGCTCAGGTGGGTGTTTTCTTCTCTTCTGATTTTTGAACCTCATTTGGTAAGGACAAGTTTTGGTGAAGTTTCACTTAAAGTACTTGTTGCTGGGAGGTTTGTCCTTTTGAAGGTTTGCTCCTTTCACATGTACTACTTCAATAATATTAACGCTTGTGGGCAGGTCCTGGCAAAATGGGCTAGCAGATTTCTTACTTCAAAAAGTGTTTATTTTGCAAGCTCAAGGTGCCTTTCTAAACTGGATGAATGCAAACCATATAGAGGGTTTGTAGTCGTTAAAGGAGTCTAATAGCTAGAATATTTATATTAATATTGGTTTTGGTTTTTTTTTTTTTTCCCAGGGCTCCTCTCGATCTGTCGTGAATATGGAGTGGGATAAAATTTGGTCATTTAACAAAAAGGTATGTGCTTACTTGAATTTGATGCTAGTCCTGATATCCTCTTTCTGGGATGTGTAGAGAATCCAGCGTTCATTGGAGTGCTTATCACTACAGTAGCAGTTGCAGTACGTTGCATCATTTGGCACACTTTCAGGAAAATGGAATGTCCCCCCCTTTCTAACCTGAACTAGCACTAATCCTATTGATTCTCCTATATCAATACTTGCTTGCCTTACTTAGTAGTATGGGGAAGGATAATGGTATTTGCTGTAAATCTGATGTGAAAACTGCATTTCATTTTTCTGCTTTCAAGCTGCGAGCTATCTGTAAGAAGGTATTACTTAATGCTTTTTACCTTAGCATATAGCTTACAGTGCTGTAAGCATACATAGCATAAGCTATCATTTTGCAGCTTCATAGCACAGTCACATTTGCTTACATAACAGGAGCTCTACAAACCCACTGAAAATGCATTATTCCTAGTTTTAAAAGGCTGCCCGTTTCTGGTTTGGCTTATTTGTTAACATAAACACAAATCTTACTCAATTTGATTCATGTTGGCCGCTTTTCCTTTCTGTGGCAAAAGGACTAACGGGCTGGGTGTACTGCCTATGTAGATAAAGCCAGCACTGCTGATGTTTCTGACTGAATGTCAGATAAGGAATATTGCATCTTGACATGGTTAGTTGCTTCTTGGCAGCGGATGCTTGGACACTATAATAAGGCGAATTGTTATAATGCTGATTGCATATTTTGTGTGATTGTGGAAACACCTGTTATTTTGCATTGGGATTCCTGCTTGGGTTTGCTTAGATAGTACCCAGATCTGTTCATTTAAGTAGTTTTTGCTTGTCTGGCATGTGTCTTGTATTTCTTCATGTATTTTGCACTTGGCCTGCTACATACACAAAGGTTTATGAATTGGTTCTTTCTGTTGCTGCATAAATATACTTACAACTAAGAACTGCATTTTGGGGAAAAATCTACAGGGCGCATTTTTTGAATCGGCTTTTAAACTGAGTTTCTTAGACCTCTGACTCAACTCTTTGGACAGCACCATATTTATCAGCCAATTTTATTTACATGTATCTGTGCAAATAGTTTGCAATCTGCAATATAAGCAAAAACAATTGGTTGCGTGCAGGTAGTTCTGAGCTCCAAGACCTTATCAGTGTGAGAGCTCTTATTTTATATGTTATCCTGTAATTATGTTACTGACTTTCTAATGCCAGTCATCTGAGGATGGATTCTGAGTTCTAGTGAGTAAAATAAAGTGCCTGATATTAACCTTGTAAAATTCAGTCATTTAATTATCAAAATTATGATATTAAATCACATACTACACCTTTATCTTGAGATGCATAGTCCTTTTTTAAAGTGTCTAACGTTTAGGAGTCTGACTTCGATGACTGTGAGCTTACAAATGTGTGACTTCTTAAAAGTATATCATCATATCACCTTCCTTGCTAATGTGAAGTAATTAGATGCTAAATATTTTTTTTTTCTAAAATTGCCATGTGGTTTTTCACTTGAGCAGGAGTAAACTAAGGAGAAAAAAAGTCACTTTATATCAATAAAAGCAGGTGTTTTCCTTTGTGTTAGATTCCAATTAAACTGGTAGATCTCTGATATTCCTTTTGGACCTAGACAACTATTATACTTGAATTATGTTTTTAAGTGCCTATGAACAGTTTGACAAACCAGTATTTCATGTATGAAAAGTCCTGTGAAAAACTATGTCAGTTGAGTTTGAAAATGGGCAATAAAAATACAGGAACACATTTTAGAGGTATTTTTTTCTTGCCAGACTCATGTTGTAGAAATCCTGATGAAGTCAAGGTTACGGTGTTGCCTTATTATAGTATCTAATGCGTCTGTATTAAAATTGCAGACTTAATTGGTGCTTCCTCTATAGCCAGATCTGTCCCTGATTCTGCTGGAGTACTGACCTGGAAAATGAGTATGGGATCAGATCTTGTGCTGCCTGAAAAAGAACGAACTGCACTGATAAATTATCGCTTTAAATTCAGCTACCTAGAGAGAAAGTGGTACAGGTGAAATAGCCTATGTGCATAGTAACACTCTATCAAAGTACATTTTGCTATCCTCCCTAGGAGGCAGTAGCTCTTAATTTTGGTTACTTCTGCTGTCAGTAGTACCCAATCTATAGTTTTTACTCAAAGTATTTCAGTAAAGATGTGAAATTGTTAAGTATTACCACTATTTTCTCACTTTTCTCTTCTATGGCTTTGGATTAAAGTAAAATTAAAGCAAACATAAAAAAATGCAGTAACATAAAGAATACCAGTAAATATTCCTTTTTGGTGGTTGTTGTTTTATACATCATCTTATATGTCTATCAATGTCGTATATTTATGATCCACCTCATTTGTTTTCTGCAGGTTATAGACCCAGTAGCACCTCGGTACACTGCTTTATTGAAAGATGCAGTGGTCCCAGTAAATATTCCTGAAGCTCAAGAGGAGATGAAAGAAGTGGCTAAACATCCAAAGGTTCTCATTTTACTCTCTTAATATTCTTGTATTGCAGATCAGTAAGGTTGGAAGTACCTTGGCTTGGAGCAGTCAGCAAGGAGAGTCCTGCTTTTAACTTGCTCAGCCAGCATGAGATAAAACAAAGGTGTACTTTTTTTTTCCACAGAATTGTCAAAAACTGGGCAACTGCTGAATGTGTTTGCTCTGTTAAGAGGATGTAGGAAACTGCTTTTGTAAATATGTAGAGTGCATATAGACCGTGCATTGAAAGGCCTCTCTGGGAGTTCTCAGAAGAGGTGAGATGTTAAAAGTATGGAGCGATGCTCGGACTGTTTTTGTTATTGTTTGATACTATCTTGCACAGAGAAGTTTAAATATAAAATTTTCTTCAAGCTTTATGGGTATAATCCAGTCAATACTACTTATTCATACAAGTAAGGAATGTAGGAGATTTTTTTTTAAAATAGTTTATAAAATTAGACTTATGTAGAGAAGGGATATAGCCTGTTAATTCTACCAATCTCTGGATTTTTTTAATACGACTTTAAAATGCAGATAGCAAATAGTTATTATCAAAAGTTAAGAACTTTCTAATTTGATACTCTTAGTATCCAGTAAACAGAATAATATCCCTTAAGAAGGGTAGTGTCTTACTGATATAATTCTTTTTGGCACTACAATTAGGAAAGATGCTTTCCTTTGAGCATGACATCACAAATTACACTTAAGCTTCACTGAAAGCATCCCTTAGATATCACACTTATACTGAGAAACAAGTGAATATTGTTGAGGTTTTTCTTCATTTATTTGTTTTTATTTTGTTGCTCTGAGTGTTCCTGTAGCCATTTCTTGTAACTGAGAGGTGGACATCTGGTTTGCCCTCTTCCCCTTGGCAGATAAAGAAAGAAACAGGTTTTGAGAAGATGCAAGTGAGAATTGTGACTCTTTAAGAGTCAAAAAGTCTAAAGTTTGGTCAGATGCAAGCCAGCATATTAAAACATTGATATTAAAAATGCTGCCTCCAGTATGTAATGAAGTAAGTACTGACCAGAAGAAAGAAATTTCAAACTCCCAATCATTTGAGAAAGTCTGAACTCGCAGCTGTCTGCCTTTAAAAGAAGCTCCATATTTATTTCCATATTAACTATGTAAAAAGACAAAAATGAGAGTTATGAAATTCTTTTTGAAGGGAATTTGTATAGCAAAATGGAAACTTGAGAAAAACTTACTTAGTTTTAACTGTAAGATCTTAAAGATGTATGGGCCTTAAGGAAACGGGGTATGCTATCAGTTGTGTTGGAGCTGGCATTTTATAGAAGGTAGGATTTTTTGAGTGTACTGTCAGAGGAATGCATGAAACTCTTGTGAACGAGAAACCTGAGAGTGTTGTGGAAGAATACTATAGCTTTGTGATACTGTTATTGTCCGTCTTATATCTTCATCTGTCTTCTATCATTCAAAAAGCAGTGTTTTGGCACTGCATTAATTTTAGTCAGCTTATAAAATAACAATCTCTCCTTTGAAATTAAAATAATTATTTACAGAATGCTGATGTTGGGTTGAAACCTGTATGGTATGGCTCCAGAGTCCTGATCGAGGGCGCAGATGCAGAGACCCTGACAGAGGGAGAGGTGGTTACATTCATAAATTGGGGCAATATTATCATCACCAAATTAAACAGGTAACCTGTTTACTGGGAGATGAAACTAATTTTTGCTTTTCAGCTTTTTGTTAATTTTTCTTTTAATAGGTAGCTTGTAACAGTAAAATATTAATGGTTGTTCTTATATGTCCGTTCTAGGATTCTGTATATAGATATCTACTATGAAATATGCCACAAATCTGCATTTTAGCATAGAGCATCTTTTACTGTAGATTCAGGTCTGAAATCACCAGTCAGTCTTGATACTGCATGTCCCTCTCATCCAGTGTTTTCCATGGTTCTGTGGTAATATTTCCACTGTGAAACCACCTGGAATTTTAGCAACTTTCACCCTGTAATGAATACTGCTTTTGCATACTAAAAACTTAAACCTATCACAGTTTCAGTTGCAGAACTGTTGAGGTGGGGAAGGAGACCATTAATGTCATCATAATATCTTTGAAATGGTTGTGTTGAGACAGTGGCAGAATGGGGTGAGCTGGGATAGAGAACATTAATAAGTAGCAATTTTTTTTTCTCATGTTCTTTTAAGAAATCCAAATCAAAGGAGAACTTCAACAGGGGTTGAATATACAGGAGTGGATATGCTCTTTCATTTCCTATGTCTCCCACACTTCAAAAATGAACTCTGAACGCTTGTTTCAGTGAATCTATTGATGGTCCGTAGTATCAAATGAGAACTAATCATTTAAGCTTTACTCTTAACATTTCTGTTTTCCTGTAGAAATTCAAGTGGAAAAATTGTGTCCATCGATGCCAAGTTGAACTTGGACAATAAGGACTTCAAAAAAACAACTAAAATCACTTGGTTAGCAGAAACTCCACATGCACCACTCATCCCAACTGTCTGTGTCAATTATGAACATCTGATCACTAAGCCAGTTCTAGGTAAAGATGAAGATTTCAAGCAATATATCAACCGAAATAGTAAGGTAAGGTATCTTTTTGTCCCCTTTATTCCACAAAGCTTAATGTTTGTGGGGTTTTTTTGCCATCACTATTTCTAGTTACTCTTTTTTTAATTTAAAGATTTCATTGGTCAAACAAGTAAATCATGTGCTGGTGTATCTAGTTTCCATGTCTCCATTTAACCTCTCATAACTTCAAAATTAAAATATGACTCGTTTTTTCTCAGACGTTGCCTGGCTTTTATACATCTGAGAGCAATATTTTGAGTTTTCGGCAAAATGCATTATGATGTGGCATCTTTTTGCTAGTACTTGTTCTGCTGCCCCTGGAATTAACTAACATTTCAGCACTTCCAAAATCAGAAAAGCATCATTATCCTTCTACAGCTCTACTGTATTTCTTAGTATTTCTTGTTAAATTTGGACTGATTTCTTTTAACGCTTACAGCAAGAAGAACTGATGTTAGGTGATCCTTGCCTTAAGGAGTTAAAAAAGGGGGACATCATACAACTTCAAAGGAGAGGATTCTTTATTTGTGATCAGCCCTATGAGCCAGTGAGGTAAGCTACCTAACAATGGCCTAAGCAGACTTCACAGAATTTGCTTTAGCCTGCTGCATTTTAATGTTTTCACACATGCATTGGCAAGAGTAATGTTGCCTGCAAATATTTTCCCCTTTGCCACGATCTCTCTGTGGAATACTTCTGTGGACTGGCATGGCTTTTAGCTTGTACGTTCCTACCTCTTCAAACTGTCTAAACCAAGCACATGGGAGTTTTGGTGCACCTCAACTAAGTTGGACTTAGTAAAGATATGGTTTCCTTGTGATTCTAAGTATTTAAATTAAAGAACAGTGTTAGGGAATAAAACAGGCATTTGCGCAATACTACTACTGAACATACTATTTAATTGTAACAGTTCTTAAGCAAGGTACCAAACATCTAAATTACACTGCATTTCAGCATAATATTATAACATAAAGAAAACTTGTCTATAACAGGAATCAATGCAGATCCCCAATTATGTAAATTTGGGTAACTACACTTTTGTACAAAGAGAAACTTGCAGTTGTGCCAGAGCATCTTGTAGAAAAAGTAGAACGTTTGTTTCACTAAATGTTTCATATGTGTCTTGTATTTCCTTTATTATTGTGTTTTGTATAAATCCTTTTATAGTCCTTACAGCTGTAAAGATGCCCCGTGCATTTTGATTTACATCCCTGATGGACACACTAAGGAAATGCCAACGTCTGGGTCGAAAGAGAAGACCAAAGCTGAAACTGCAAAGAAAGAGGTAAACTTGTGTTTTAGAACAGTGGCATGAAATGTATTACTGTACAAGATTACCATGCTGAATACTTGGCTTTTTTTTGTTTGTTTGTTTTTTAAGGCTACTTCAGCTGTAAAAGGAAAATCTGCTCCACTTGTTGCTGATACCTCTACTCCAACCTGTACTGTATCAGAAGGTCACCTGGTCATTTACAACAGGGTGGCTGCACAGGGTGATATAGTTCGTGACTTGAAAGCTAAGAAGGCAACGAAGGAAGATATTGATAAAGCTGTGAAACAGTTGCTGGCCTTGAAAGCAGAATACAAAGAGAAGACGGGCCAGGAGTATAAGCCTGGAAATCCTCCAGTATCTGTAACTGAACAGTCTGTGTCTTCAAAACTTGGGACCTCTGGTACTGTGGACAGCAAAGCTCTGTACAATAAAGTAGCAGAGCAAGGAGAAGTGGTCCGCAAACTGAAAGCTGAGAAAGCACCTAAGGTGGCTGATTAAACTAATATTTGTTTGTTTGGGTTTGCATAGCCCATTGTCCTCTGTCTGTGGAGGTGAATGGGCGCTTATGGATCCATGTTTTCATAGTGATCATCATTTGGACTGGGCTCTGTTCTGTCAAGACTTGTGTTTTCCAATACTTATCTTTTAGCTAGATATTTATGACAAAGATTGTGTTAATATTCATAGAGATGCGAGTAAATTGCTATATTTCTTAGACTGCTATTCTGAAATGTGGACAGGATTCACCCTACAGCATGAGTTGATTAAGTATCGAAATCTTGTTCTTGGGGTTGAAGAGTCCTGCAGTATTTATTTATTCAACTAAATATGGTCAAATTACGTGACTTCATGGGATTGACTTGCTGCTATTTAGACTTTAAAACAAAAAAAACCAAAACCAAACAAAACGAAATGCAGGAAGGAAAAAAGAAAGTAAACATCCAGATACTACAGATATTTTTGAAACCTCTTGTTGGCTGGAGCTGAGCATAGAAAAAACAGAGTTACTAGTAGCTGTTTTCCTTCTAAGGCAGAGCAGGAAAAGATGGGAAATAACACACTTTGTCTGGTGGTTAAATGCTGTTCATAGTAGTGTCTTGGTGGCACCATAAAGTCTAAATAAATGGGAAGAACTAAATAATTTGTTAGAATTTTATTTAGGACTATTAGGAGTTACTTTGTTAAAGTAGGAAACTAGTGGAGAAAACTTCTCTCAACAACTCTACTAAATAGTTAAGAAAATGGAATTGATGTGCATAAACTGCAGGTCTTTTCATAAAAGTATGCACAAAAGGTGCACTTGAGAGTCTTATGTCTTTATATCTTTGTTCTCCCTCTTTCTGCCCTTTCCTTTCTCTTTCAGGATGAGATAGGTGCTGCTGTGGAAGTCCTTTTATCCCTAAAGGCAGAATATAAACAACAGACAGGCCAGGAGTACAAACCTGGAAGCCCTCCTGTGGTCCCACCTCAGTCTTCTGTTTCTACTCTTCCATCCACATGTCCAGTAGACAGCAAATCTCTATACAGCAAAGTAGCTGAACAAGGCGAAGTGGTCCGCAAACTTAAATCGGAGAAAGCCTCAAAGGTGTAATAGCAGTGAATACTTCTGGGTGGAACAATATTTTCAGTTTAGGCAAAAACCTAATTACAGGTTTTGTGAAACTTGAGAAACAAAATATAAGAAAGTACTTTCGAATTCTATGAAGCATTTTCCTAAATTCTCTTAAGCTGATATGGCTGATTTCATGAGTTCTGTGATAGTGCATGGAGAACCGGAAAAATAAATTAGTTATTTTTTTAGTGATACAAGACAATGAAGCAGAATATAGGCAGTAACTTGAAAGAAAGGCTGTAACTTGAAAGCTAAACTAGCAGTAATAAATATGGTAGTAAATTGATAGTGGTCAGGGAACCATTCTTTATTCAGAGTCTGAGTATTTGCTCACATTCTCCATTGTACAAAGTCATGGACTGCTGTAACTGCAGGGGAACTAAGCTGCCTAAAGGGAAAGTTTTCATGGCATAGAAGTCAACCCTTACATATACTGCCTGATTAGGTGCTTTGATGTGCTGCTCACAGGTATTGTGGCTAAAAACTTTTACCACAGAACTCAGTAATGACAACTTATACTAACAAGTTAGCTCTAGAAGTTGTATTACAACAGCTATGTTAGTGCTGTTCTAGTAAAGGTTATGTTATCTCAGCTATTGTGTTGAATCTCTGTTGTTTCTATCTTTATCTGCAACTGCTGTTTTTCCTTTCTTGCTTCAGGAACAAATAGATGAGGCTGTGAAAATTCTTTTAAATCTAAAAGCAGAATATAAACAAAAGACAGGTCAAGAGTACAAGCCTGGAAATCCACCTTCAGCTCCTCCTTGTATACCTTCTACTACACTTCCATCTTCTGTATGCTGCAGTAACTTGGCATCCTGTAGCTTAGTGGATGGCAAAGCACTTTATGATAATGTAGCTGAACAAGGGGAACTGGTACGCAGACTCAAAGCAGAGAAAGCTTCTAAGGTATAATAGTAAACAGAGCGTAAGCAATTGTAATTCTTACCGTGTCTTGCCACTGGGGGGAAATCTTTCACCAAGTAATGATCAAACAGCATACTAAATTCCCTTATGTCTGGGTCATAGCTTAGCCATCAAACTTGCATGTTCTGATAATGCCACACAAGGCTACTCTGATGCTGGATACTTTCTTGACTCTGAGATATAAATTCTAAATTCTGCTGGTGTAGGAAGTCAAACTTAACCTCTCGCATCTAGATGAATAGGCACAAGCATGGCAGATCTTAAACCTACAGGAGTTTTTAATGTATGTTACTTTTTCTTGCTGTATTTGGGACAACTGAAGATAAAAGTATCTAGTGTACTGCAACAATAGCAAGGCTTGTCAAAACTTGACAAATTCAGTGACAGTTGTGGAAAAGAAAACGAGACAAACCTATATGTTTTCAGGAGCTGCTGGTTTTTTCCACCTATATTTCTACCTTGCAGAATTGCTTTTGGTGTTGGGTTATTTTTATTGCTTTTTTTTTTTTTTTTTTTTTTAAAAAAAGTTTATTGTATGTTTCAGTGTAGATTCTGCTGCAATTAAGAGGTTGTAGCTGGCCAGGTGGGCCAGGGAACATTCTGGTATAATGTGACAGCTCTCAAAACATAGTCCTGTTGCTTGGGGAACAGCTATTACTTGAGTCCTCCTCTAGTTATGAAGCACTGTTTATTGCTAGCTGGAAATTTTGTTTTCTTCACCTGAAAATCAATGTTTCTTGTCAGTTCTCTCTTTAATTCTCATCAGTACATCTTGCTATTTGTCCTCCATATAGGATGAAATAGATGAAGCAGTAAAACTCCTTCTTTCTCTAAAAGCTGACTACAAGGAAAAGACTGGGCAGGACTACAAGCCAGGACATCCACCAGTAGCTCAAGGTGCTTTGCCTCAAGCATCAAACACAGTACCCACTGGTCCAGACACGCCTGAAGCTAAAGCCCTGTTTAGCAAAGTAGCTCTTCAAGGAGAGGAAGTTAGGAAATTAAAAGCAGACAAAGCAGAAAAGGTAAAAACATACTGTAATATAAAAATGTAATATATGTATTTAAATCTAAAAATCTATTTTAAATTCTTTGTGATTATGGGAATTAGAAATGTACATTTAGAATAGGCAGCATTTGAATTCTGAGATCTGAAATTTACTTTTAGAATTATTCTTGTCAGATATGGTCCTTAATGTTAACACGTTTAAATTAAGTATTAGTCTTTGCAGACTTTTCCCCCAACACTGTATGGATGTCCACAATGCAATACATAGATCCATTTTACTTTTTTGATAGAGCCAGTTTATTCCTGTGATTTCTGTATAATTTTTTTTTTTTTCCTTCAAGGAAAAGATAGATGCAGCTGTTAAGGAACTTCTTCAATTGAAGGCCCAGTATAAGTCTGTTGCAGGAGTGGACTATAAACCAGTTTCTGCTAGTGGTGCTGATGACAAAGACAAGAAGAAGAAAGAGAAAGACAACAAGTCTGAAAAGCAGAGTAAGCAACAGAAGCAAAATGATGGCCCAAAAAAAGAACCTTTGCAAGGACAGAGTGGTAATGAGCTCTCCTCAAATGGATCAGGAGAGGGTCAAGGCCCTAAGAAACAAACCAGGTAAAGATGTGAAATTTAATTTATTTGTTAGAAACCTCAACTGTTTACTTCTATTCAGATTTAGAGTTTTACAGGTGTCTCATTTCACTTGAAAGTGTGGTTATTTGCAAAATAACTGTTCATTTTCATATTTAGGATTAAGCCAAAAGCAAGTTACCAAAGTTAATTTAATGTCAATTGTACCTCAGCATCCTACTGAGGAAAATTCTGCCTAGCCTGTAGAAAGCATGAAGCAGTGTGCACGCTCTGTTACTGGGGGTACTATTACAGTTATTGAGAACTCGCTGTGCTTCATTATTTGCTTCTGCAAATGTGCTGTTCTATCTTGCCCAGCATAAACCTGGAGGTTAAAAACACAACCTCACATGTATTTCATAGTACCATGGTTTACAAAATATTTGCTGCAAGTACCATGAGAAGTATGTAGCCCGATTCAGAGCAAGGCACTGCTATTGTTGATGGTGGAACTCTCCAGTGATGACTGCTGTGCATCCCCTCTTCTGCTCCCACCCTGAAAGTTTAGAAATCTTTCCACAGCGTGTGTTATACTGTATTGTTTATTTCCTGTTACAGATACATAAATCACATATTAGAGACAGAGATGTGGTTATTTTGTGCAGAAATTATGCCAGAAAAATGCATTTTTCACCCCTAGAACTTCTCTGTTTGTAGACATATAAAAACTTTACTTTTGTGTACTGTTATTTGAGTCTGGTGAGTTTAGCCTTCTTTAGGATCTTGTAGTTTTACTGGTTATCTTTATTTTAATGGGAGAGTCAGTTTTCTGTCTCAAACAGTGTGACTGACATTCACATGAATGGTGAAGTCAAGTTGCATATGTTTCCTGAAATTGTAGTGACTGTCAAGGTAAGAAATTTTTAACAGAGTAAACCAGCTTACACACAGGTCTGATTAATCTTAGGTTTTTATTGGAGGTTCTTGGTTTTTTTAATGCATCATTATGAGGTTCTTTGGTGTAACCATGGTGAGAATTAGAAGGGTTCAAACAGTAGAAAAGAAGTGGACCTGTTTTTATGAAATACTCTTGTTAGCCAAGGTAAGGAAATACTAGCAATTTGTACTAGCCAATACATACTGAACTGTCAGAAAAAAAACATGGGAAAAGTTATCTTTATGAAGTAAAATTAAGATGCTCTGTTCCAAGCCTCTCTTTTTCTGTGCCTGCCGCCCAGAAAAAAAAAAAAAAGGAAAAATATTAGGATAAATTTCACTGCTAAATGCTGTACAGCACAAATCAGGTTCTTCTCTTAATACCGTAGGCTGGGTCTAGAAGCTAAAAAAGAAGAAAATCTTGCAGACTGGTTCTCTCAGGTAAGTGCACATCAGTTTGAATTGAAGAATTATTTCATTCTCTTATAAATCAAGATTTGTTTTGGATTTATATCTTATCTTGTATTTATGTATGTTTGTTTTAAATACAAAGCAAAGTACTTGCTCTTTTCTATTTCTTACATTGCTATCATGGTCTTAAGTAGAACTGCCTGCATTGAAGAGCTGAATAAATTTAGGAAACTGTAAAAAAGATGAGCATCACCATTTCGCCCCTCCCCCCATACATACATATATATATGATTTTCTTAATTCATGTATGAATTCCTCTTTCATTAAGAGTGCACAACTTTAGTGAAGTAATAGGAATTTCACAGGCTTGTGAGTTTTATTTCACCTCAAGTTGGTGTCTACCAAAAGTTAGTATCTGTTGATACTGAATGATTTGGCTGGCTTAGGAGGTTCAAAACAACCAGAATAGAGATGATTAGTTTAGATTAGCCTCGTTATGAAAGATTTTAAATAGGTATCAGTGGTGTCCATTGCCTCTCACTAGTATAATTTTTGTCTATACCCTAAGGAATAAAAATCTTTTCTGAGATGAGCTAGAGACATCTCTTACAAAAGTGCAGCTTGTTGCTTCTTGCGAATTAGCTGCTGTATTTTGTTGAATTAATGAAATTCAGTTTTAGTTAAGTATTTACTTTATTCAGATCTATTATTAAACTTGGAGCTCCTGCTTAACTTTCTCTAATTATAGGTAACAAAAGCAATCTCAAAGTATATCTTTGCTAACTTTTTTAGCACAAAGACTTTTAAATAGGAGACTTTTCTTTAATTGCATGCCGCACACTTGAATTATTGAATGTTCTTTGTGTATGAAATTGAAACTTCAGTATCTAAATAATCTTTTGAAAGGTGATCACAAAATCAGAGATGATTGAATACTATGATGTGAGTGGCTGTTATGTTCTTCGTCCTTGGGCTTATTCTATTTGGGAAGCTATCAAGAACTTCTTCGATGCCGAGATCAAGAAGCTTGGAGTGGAAAACTGTTACTTCCCTATGTTTGTGTCCCAGGCAGCCCTAGAGAAAGAGAAGACTCATATTGCTGACTTTGCTCCTGAGGTACACTGCAAAACTTTGTTTTAATCTGAGTGCAAGAAAACCCAAGCACTTATTCTGCAGCTGTGTGTGAAAGTATGGTGGGGTGGGGTTTTTTTCCAAACTTGTTTTGTTTGATTTTTTTTTTCCCCTCTTTTTTTCTTTTTCCTTCCTTTAGGTTGCTTGGGTCACAAGATCTGGGAAAACAGATCTGGCTGAACCAATTGCTGTACGTCCCACAAGTGAAACAGGTAGACATTTTTTCATGCAGCTTGGCTGTAAAGAAAACAGTTACAGGTATAGTGTAGCTGATAGGCAAGAATCCCTTTTGAAAAGTGAAACTCATTTTTAAGAATGTTTTCTATAACTCCTTACCAAAATTTCCTAAATTTGCCACTGCTTATAGCTAATGTCACAACACTATAGGTTCCCTTAAGTGGACTTTTCTAGGAAATGTGTAGGAAATTCCTACACTCTAGGAATGTTTCCATTAATATCCTGAAGACTGACTTGCTTTGACTGAAAAATACATTTGGTTGGATTTCTTTATATTGTTTATAAGAAAATTTCTTCATCTCATAATTCACTTCAGTTTTGCATATACTTTTACTATAGTTGTGAAACTAGCTTTTACTAAAATTTCCTCTGAGTAATTGAAGCAAACATTTTAAGGCCTAAGGCTGGATGAGTTTTTAATTGAATCAGGTATGGTATAGCATTCTGAAACCTTGAGGCCAGTGAATTTTCTATTTGTGAACCCAAATGTAAATACATATTTTTAAGCCAGTGACTCAAACATAGTGTCATTAGATATTAAGCTTTGGATTGTACTTTGACCAGCAGTAAGCAAGCTATTTCGCAGAGACACAGGACAAAGCGAAAGTACTCCTTTCAGGCAAAATATTATGTGTTAAGACAAAAAATGTCTTTCAAAGAGAATTGAACATAAAAGCATAGTTCTCACAGCAGAGAATGTTAAGCTTATATGTAGCAAAAAGAAAGGTTTGGCATAAACTGCCTGTATCGTGCAGAGACCCAAAGCTACTTTCTTTTTACAGTCATGTATCCTGCCTATGCAAAGTGGGTGCAGTCACACAGGGATCTTCCTATCAAGCTTAATCAGTGGTGCAATGTTGTGGTATGTCTGTACACGATTTCTCAGTAACTATTGTATCATAAGTGCAGTATAGGACAATTATTTTATGTGGACATGGCATGATGATACTGATCACAGTGCGTATTTCATGGCAATAGTATGAATGAAGTTTATGTGATTTGTTTTTCTCACTGTTTTTAATAAAACATACTTTATCAGTGTATATTGTTGATTATATTGTTTAAGTAGAAATCTGTAAATAGTTGACTTTTTATCTTTATTCAGAATTTTCTAATACTTATTTATAAACAGCATTTTTAACAATAGTTTGACACTTCAGTGTTAATCACACTGTTCAATTTTTTTACTCCCCTGCCCCCAGCGTTGGGAGTTCAAACATCCTCAACCTTTCCTTCGCACTCGTGAGTTCCTTTGGCAAGAGGGTCACACAGCATTTGCAACGTATGAAGAAGCAGCAGAGGAGGTAAAAAGCAAACGCGCTGATGCTTTTGCTTTCAGAAAGTTACTTTGCTCCATAGCAACACAAACAAATCTTTTTACTAGGACCTCATAGAAGTCCTCCTTTTGTTCGGGAGCCCTTATGAAAAATGCCAGGTGTACTAGAACGCATTTTTTTCCACAGATGTAACCCATGTCTGAGGCTTTAGTCTCTTCAAACAATATGGGGAGTTTGAAAAATGTGATATATAAAGAATGCTTTCCTTAAAAATTATGTTCCTTAAAAATTCTTTAAAAAAAATCCATTTTCCTTAAAAATCTAAATCATGCATTCACATGTTAACAGCTAGGAATTTTTCACTTCCTTTGCCCGAAAGACAGATGTTCTATTGAGTATCATGGCATATCTTTATTTACTAGGCAGATATTCAGACTTCTAGGTGGAAGCTAGGTTTCTGCAGTGACTCTTCTTGTTTTTTCTGTCATGGTTTTTAGTTGTTCCTATTTGATTCATAGGAAATAACAAGTCAAACTTTAAAGCAATTGAAGAAATCTTATTTTTTTAATCACAGTTTTGAGAAAATGTTAATTTTTTAACATTTTTAGACTGACATATAAAAATATTTCATGATTTAACAAATACAAAATGCTGACGAATTCTTAAGACAATGTGTTCATGACAGGTGATGCAGATACTTGATCTGTATGCTCAAGTGTATGAAGATCTCCTAGCAATACCTGTTGTGAAAGGAAGGAAGACAGAGAAGGAGAAATTCGCTGGGGGTGATTATACAACCACTGTAGAGGCATTTATATCTGCCAGTGGAAGAGCTATCCAGGTATTTATCTATTAGAAAAATATTTTTTTTTCAGTAAAAACAGTAAGAGAAAAGCCTTAAACTGATGCTTGATAGACTTAACTATCTACTGAGTAGAATTTTCTGTGTGCAACTATTTCAGGGAGCAACATCACATCATCTAGGGCAGAATTTCTCAAAGATGTTTGAAATTGTATTTGAAGATCCCAAGAAACCGGGAGAAAAACAGTTTGCTTATCAGAATTCCTGGGGCATTACAACGCGAACTATTGGCGTAATGACTATGATTCATGGAGATAACATGGGATTGGTGCTCCCACCTCGAGTAGCCTGTGTTCAGGTGTGTAAAAATGTCTTAAACTACCATTTTATTTCCTTTCCTGTCTTGAGCATTTCACATCAGGCACCTGGAAGACTTAACATAGGATAGGAGCTGTTGTAATTACACAGCATGCTATATAAAGTTAATACAAATCATTAGGGTACTTGTGGTGGATAAGCTCTCTTTTAATAGTCTGTCCATTTAAAATTATTTTATCTGTACCATTTGGATGAAAAGGGAAATGTAGCCTTCTGAGAACTTGAAAGATATTCCTGGGATATAGGGCCACAATATTGTTTTTAAGTTTTTATAATAACTAGGAGCTAATCTTTTTTTATAATGTAAAGTACATGTCATGTTTTATTGCAGGTTGTAATTATTCCCTGTGGTATCACAAATTCCCTTTCTGAAGAGGACAAAGAGGCTTTATTGAAGAAATGTAACGAGTATCGTAATAGGCTACTTAGTGTTAATATCCGTGTACGGGCTGATTTAAGAGACAACTATTCACCCGGTTGGAAGTTCAACCACTGGGAACTTAAGGTACGTCTCTTTCCAGGAGGTATTTTGAAGCTTATATGTGGAGGCTATGTATGAGGCATGTTATGTGTGCATTGTATTCTGAAGGCAGGTATTTTCTCTAAATGAAGAATGGCTGCCTGATAATCAGTGATAGCTTTCATTAATAAATGAAGAAAAGATGTTTTCTGAGACTTGCTCTGTTTGCTAGAATTTGCGTGTCATTAGCAATTTTTCAACTTCCAAGTCTCCACTTTATATACCTAGAAAATGAAATTAATAGTACAAATTACTTGAATGTTTAAAAATCTGTGCTAATACTTAAGTGTCTCCGGGGTCACAACAGTGCCTTTTTTGCTCACAGTGGAACAGGGAAGACAAACCTGTACAGTGTCAACAAAGAAGGAAGCGATTTTTTTTTTTTCCTCCAAAATTACCATGTTCCCCTTATATAGTAGTTGAGAGGAACAGTTCTGCTTCATCATACATAAGAGGCTTTTGTAAAACAAAAATAGTGAGCAGAATGAAACAATGGTAATTAGAAATTGAATAATGTATTGAGTGATGTTATGGGATCATATTTTTGTTCTGAATTTGAAATTAGTTTCAATATGTTAATCTTCAGTGTAAGATGATAGAAGCTCCCTGAGTTACTGAAAGTTCCCATTGTGTCTAAGTTCTCTTCCCTTTGTGTAACCTTATTTTTTTTTTAAATGGAGCTCTAATAATATGAATCCGTGTTGGGAGACTTTAAATAAAATTAGGTTTATCAAGGAGGCACAGCAATGGGGCAAACTTGGTGTTTTTTATAAAATCTACTAACGTGCATAATAGGTAAACTGCATCTTCAGGCTAATTGCAGACAAAGTGTACTCATTTTATTGACTACTGATAAGGAATTTCATAAGGTAAAAAATACAAGGGTACTGGCGTAAGAAGTACAAAGAATGAACTGGAAAGTATTTTCCTTATGTACTTTTCAGCTTAGCAGTTTTCTGATGTTATCTCCAAAAAAAGCCAAGTCATTGGTACTTGTTTTATAATGTCTGGTATTAGTTCCGTTGTTCTTTCTTAGGAAGTCTTCCTACATGACCATTAGGCATATTTCTTTCACTGGAAAGTAGTATTACAATTAGAAATACTAGATAATTTCGACAGAGTTTTAATTATGGAGGCGGCTTTTTTGTATGTCATAAACTAGAAAGTTCAGTTTAAATCCCTTGTTAATAACAGTTTTGAATAGCTTTCAATGTAGCTTTGCAGTAGGAGTAGATATTTCACCCTTCAGAGAGATTTTACTATATTATTCATCTTTTTAGCATAAAGAGTGGGTGGAGGTATAGGGAATCATTTGGGAGCTGTGAACTTGAAGAGATTCCAGAGCACAAAATGTGTGGGAAGCTTGAGTTAATGTCTTTGATTCTCCTGTTCACCTGTTGAACACTGTAGAATGTTTATAGGTTTTAGGTTTTTACCTTACTGATTGATTAGATTTCCCTTGGGAAAAACAAACAAACAAACAAAACCACCCACCAAAATGCATTTGTAATTACTCTCTTAATTTCCTGTGAAAGAATGTGTGCAGCTTGGGGTACATGTTAGCAGGATGTAGAGGAAATAAGTTAGAGTCAGTAGACTCCTAACTGACTACTAAAATGGAAACTCTTTTTGTCTGATGGTGTATGGGAGATGAGAAATTACGTAATTCTTATCACCAAAGTTTATGAAGCATAAAAGCTTTATATTAATAAAGCAACTCTATATTCAGTCAAATATTCTATGCAATTAATGTTGATATTAGGGATATACTTAAGAGAAGCTAGTGAGGCAAAGTTGGAACAAGGTGTAATGCACAAGTGAAGAGAGTGTGGATGGGAAAGACAGAAATGCATAAAAAGCAGTGGAATATATGCTGATTTTTTTCAAAGAAACTTAAATGTGTAAAGTGATTCCATATTAAGGCTGGGCTTCAGAACAAAAAAGAAAAAAATAGAGAAAAAATGAACTTTTCTGAGAACGATTTATTCATTATAACTTCTAACTTTTTTTAATGAAGGGTGTTCCAGTCAGGGTTGAAGTGGGACCACGAGACATGAAGAGCCAACAGTTTGTAGCTGTTAGAAGAGATACAGGACAGAAGCTGACCTTTTCTGAACATGAAGCAGAAGATAGACTGAAGCAGATTTTGGAGGAGATCCATGCTAACCTTTACAACAGGTAAATTGAGAGGTACAGTAAATGGCTGTGCTAATCACAGATGCACTTTACCTATCAGGAGAATTTCTCGCATTATTGGTTCATCTGCAGAGAAGGGGAGGTTAGGCCCATTTTTCTGTTTGTGACTTCATTTTTCTGCCTATGAAACATACAGTGATTGAAGTTTCCTGTTTTGCTTATGAAAGAGAATGTTAGAAGTTGTGAACTTATTTTAAAAAATGCTTCCATGAAATCATGTGAAGTATTAATAAAAAAATACATCATAAATAGTTCATGGGATAATAATGCACAGTATTTATTCCTGAAAAATGCTTTTGGTAGGGAATTTTGAAAGATAGAAAGTTGTCCAAGAAACTTCAGTAGTTGAAGTTCTGTGTTCTGAAGTGTATTTTAATACCCTATATCCTATTGACTTTCATAGGATTGTTTTCTTATAAGCAATCAAATGCTTTTGGAACTGTTACTTGCATTTATTGTATGTGCCAAAATCCCTTGCATGTGTCTCATTGCAAATTGTTGTTTGTAAGGACACAGAAAGAACAGGATGCTGATCCAGCACCACGGCAGATGAGTTTTCCTACTTTCTTCTGTGGTGATCAAAGTTGCTTACAAGCAGAATATTTTTACCTAGTTAAAGAGCATTTTGCTATTTAGATTTAGAACATAATTTAAAAAGAAAAATCTACATCTATAGTACTTACTTGTTTCTATCTATAGCTGGTCAGCGTTGAACTGATGCACAGCAATGTGAATTCATGTGGTGAAATGTGCAGCAACCTGGAGAACACCTCATCCACAATTAATCAAAATTTTATCTCTGAGGGGAAAAAGTGGTAGAAAGACATAACCTGATAGAAGATTTGAATGAATATATACCTTCTCTTGTAATTTTTTGTTTTGACTGACTCTGAAAACCTAGTTCGTTTCGCCAGTGAGGTTATGTGCCTAAATCTGCCCTGACCGAATATTTTTCTCCTTTTCTTAGAGCTTCTGAGGACCTAAAAAGTCATATGGTGGTGGCCAATACTATGGAGGACTTTCAAAAAGAGCTTGACTCAGGAAAGGTAAAGAAATTTATTTCATTCTGTCCCAATAAGAGCCTTCACACACTTTCTGTCCCTTACAAATAATCAGGAGCTAGAAATTTTAAAGCTTATATATAAATACTGTTGTGGTTTTTAGGGAAGTCTCTCCTCACAAGCAGATGAAGCCTCTCCTGTGTAGAACTGCACAACAATAAATTAGCTTTCCCAAAATTTGTTGCTTTCTTCTTTTGCTAAAATACTATTTTTACTAAATACGATGTTTCAGGCTATGACTATTCAAAATCTAGTCCTATGCCAGAGGTGACAGGGTGTCTTGAAGGGACTTAGAATGATGCAGTTTGGTAGTTTGCATTTAAAGTGTTACATTTTTATCAGGAAGTGCTTTTCAGAGAGATTAATGTAAATATTCAGATTAAGATGAACTTACTGTCATTATTCTAATGCAAACAGTGAAAAACACTTGTCAAATCTTGTAATAGGGTCCAAGTAAGAGTTTAAAGTACATGCTATTTACGTCAAAGAAGTTTCTCATTTATGACCTGAGTAGAAGCCATTGGGTTCATCGAGAATTACTGCAAGTCAGAAGCCTCCTTGGGTTGATAGTAAGAATAACCCATAATGTGGATAATTGAGCTCTACTGATCTGGAGATCTGTGAAAATTTTAAAGTTCTGGCAAAGTATTTGACCTTTAGGTGAGAGATTAAGTCTTCAGTAGAGAATTCAGCTGCTGCTTCTTTTTCAGAGATCCACCGACAGAAGTTCTTAACCCTGAAATTCTGCCACGAATCTCAGGTTGTGAAATTGTTCATGTATTTAGGTTAATGTGTTCAAGTAGTAGGATCCCCAGGATCAATTGTTAAGGTTGTGTATTTTATAAAGAGAGATCGGGGGTTTGTGTGCCAATTAGGTCTACTCTGAAAATTTCAAAATTTCTGATGGACAATGCACAAGTGTCTAGAATTCATAGTACTTTTGTTAACTTCAAAAATAGCTTTAAGCTATTCTTGGTCAGGCTTGACCTTCCATCACACTCTTCTCTTGCATTTCTATTACACTTAAATTCAGTTTATAACAAGATTTAAAGGAATAATTATGAACTTCAGAGGAGGGACTGATTTAGCACGCATATGAAGTTGAGGATGTAGAATTTTTAGACGTTCTATGCATAGGTGCTATAATAGTAGTACTGCCTTATTTTCCTCTGCAAAATTAAATACAAGTGTGAAATACGCTGTTTCCAAATAGCTTTGGGCTCTTCCTACTGAGTGCAAAGTATCATTTCTTTGGTGCAAGTGTCTCTAAAGCATCTGATTCTGGTGGTAGATTTAAAAACCAGAAGTCTGTAGTCTTTGCTTAACAAATAATTGTGCTCTGCATAGATGTTCAACTAGTACTACTGCTCTCGTGTATTATGATTTCAAGATGTGCTGTCACATATCTTTCACTTCTGAATTAAACAAGCACTCTGAAACTATGCTTGACTGACTTCAAGACAAAGAAACAGTTGAGGAAGACATAAGCTCTTAAAAAAAACTTAAAAGATGCAGTAAACTTGTATGTAAAAATAAACTGAAATGAAAAGTC